AGATGAGAACGAAAACTTGCTCTTATTGAATTTTTAATCGCTTGATTCGGATTTCTGCTCTGATAAAGCAAGTAAATATCCTTTTGAAAATTATATTCTGCCTTTCAGGAACGCCTAAAGCCTGGAAAATACAAATCCAAACCTGAGTATAAAGATATGATAGCATGTATCCATTTATTGGACTAAATCGGAATCTTCCATTCAATATTGTTGAGTCAATACCTGTACTCTCTCTCCCCCTTATCTCCTTTGTCCCCTGAATCATTTGTGTTGTCAGGGTCATATTTTGTCCTCTTGCACACGATGACCGAAAATAGCCTTTTTATAGTTTACTTATTATTAGTTCTGTTTATTATTTTTCAATACTGCGATTGAATTTGATAAGCTGACCGACAAGTGCAGCGCAGTTCCTGCTCGTGCAGCATTGTCCAGCACAACGCCCGTTTCCGGAGGAATCGATCGCGAGAGCGTCGAGATCCAGATCGCGTCTCCCGTCTGGGGCATTCGGGACATGCAGAAGGGACGATCTGGAAATAGCGACAGAGGATAGATGGGGACCTTGAAACTATTCATAAAACAAAAAAATATATAGTGCACTTACTTTTGCCTTCTTCCGGCCGTCAACTTGTCAGATATCTCGGGAACTCCAATATCGCTGGATAGATTCTCTCCGCGTCGATTTAAGACTCTTGTATGAATATTTCTCGCCACATTCGGCAGTCGTCCAGGTCTCGATCGATCATCCCTGGCACCAATATCGCCTGGAGTGGAGCTGACTTTCAGGACAGGAGGAGTCTCGAGTCGGTGCACTTCATCACGTTCCTATGTTTTTTTTTTTCATTTCATGTTTCCCCTCCATCAATGAGAAGTAACAGTGGATTAAAAAAAAAAAAAAAAGGAGCCCATGCTTCAACATCGTCTGGGGCGAGAATAACGTGTGAGGATAACGTCAATAGAAATGAATAATCTCACCATCACCACATGAATATTTCATTATCATAAGTTCGGTCTCACCATGAAAATACTCTCTCAAGCCAAAGAAGGACCGTGCGCTGACATTGCGACAAAAAAGTATGATTCCTTCGCAAAAAGCAACTGATTTAAATCTGATGACCTACATCCCCGCATCATAAAGCAACTGATCAATATGGCCTCTCGTATCCCTATATACTTCATTTGCTTAAGCTGCGGGTTGAATGAACGGAAGAGGACAACTACTGTATGAATGGTACTGCGCAGTATTTTTTAAATACAAATACTATATCCCCTTTAATCCCAAGTATTTTCCCACGCAGAATCTTCTCTTATACCAAGGTATGTATTGGCTGCGCTACTTTGAAGGATCTCTTTGAATTCATTGCTAGTAGTTCGTCTGCTTTCCTTCTCATGTCTACAATTACTGAAAACTAAATTTAATACTCCAATGAATACATATCTAATTATATTTAAAAAAAAACTCCTGTCAACAAGTAAAGCCATTGACTCAGGGTCAACTAGTTGTGACAGGTTCTCGAGAAAGTGCCAAAAATCCGGTTCTGCCACCCCCATCTCGCAGAATCAAACCCTTACTTATACCCCTTCAGCCATTGTCAAGGAACATCAGCAGGCCTTCGCAGTATCCCAACTTCCTTTTCAGTTGAGTCATCCCAATTTTTTCGCTCGATGCCCCAAAGCAGCAGCGGTGTGCAGTGCTCTCGGGTGTCGTGATTACTTCCTGGTCTCTCAGATCCTTTCCTCCAATCGACCACGTGACGTCATCAAATTCAAATTTATTCTCCCTGTGTATCCTCAACGGGTGGTTCAACAAAGGCGAAGTTTCCGGCAACGACTTCCATTCATGAGAATTCACAGAGATTTCAAATTGTGCAAAAATGAACCTTCCTTTTCAGATGTTCCAATCGGTAAGACACGCTTGCCGGCAGTAAGCAGCTCCTACACACAGAAAATTCAGTGCCTCAGTTCGATGCATTTTTCTCGCGAAAAAATCTGTCCTCTATGTGATGCGTCTTTATCGCATCGAATTTTGGATGCGATAAAAACGCATCACATGGAGGACAAATTTTGGATGCGGTAAAAACGCATCACATGGAGGACAAATTTTNTAAATCGAAAATCCAGCTGATGTATTTTTCTCTTGAGAAAAAGAAATCGAAATGCGAAAATTGAGAGAAGTATATCGTCTCGATTCACCGATTTCTCTGAGTGTATAGCCTACTGAGCTCGAGCAGAGCCCAATTGGAACCTTTGCATAAAGATGGCCACGTTCATGGTACGTGTTGAGAATAATTGGGAGAAACTCGGGTCTCTTCCTAATTTTTTCGATATGTTGGCTGCCTCGATGCCGACGAAGTTGTAAGACTGCTTCATTAATGGAGACGAAAGAGCAAAAATATTAATTCGTCCTCTTATTATTGCTATTCCTTTCAATGAGAAATTTCGCGAGTTATTTTAAGCAGCCTCCTGAAAGGGGTGGGGGACTGGGGCGAAGAGGAAAGGTTAATGCATCTAACTGTTTTTAGCTAATAAATGTATCATCAGGCGGCAATAAAGTGTCTGTCTGACGTTATGCACCAGAGATGTCATCACTGATCAGTCATAGCGAATTTAAATATTTAATACATTTATACAGCAAAGGGAATGATGTCACTTTCAAACTTTTCCTGGGAAAAGTGGTAAGGGGACAAGCAACGAAAATTAAATCAGGTTTCAAATGAACAGAATCATTTCATTCCTTATTTCCAAGAAAGAGATTCAAGAGAAGGCATCATTTGCACATGTCGCAGACATAAAGCCTCCTTATCCAATGCCTGAACTGTATTTAAATAGTAATTACACCAACCGAAAGCTTATTAAACTTCGGTTATTTTCTACAATCCAAGTACGATTCCGAGTATTGGGCATGGATTCGTGGGACTGTGAGGCCAAGCCGAGGGAACCCTGGCACGCTTCGTTCACATGGTGCGGATACGGTCAATAAATCTTGCTCGCTCCCAATCAGACTTCGCCATTTGGGATCGGAAATGGATGGAAAGGAACCGGAATTAAAATCCTTTCGGGCGGCCTTGGGGAGAAGGGGGCAAAAGGAGGAAAAGGGAGCCAGTGGCTCCCGTCTCTGTTGTGCGCGCAAGAGAACTTGAGGCTTTGGTGTAATGAATGCCAAATCGTCGGGCCATTAAGGCGGAAAGGGGAGGAATCACACTTCTGAGTTTCCTGAACACGTGCTGAGGAAAAGTGACATTTATAATTAATATTAAATAAGAGTTCATACAGCTTCCACGTATCACTTTGATCATGAGGCATAACAACAAAATGACTTCTTTCAAACATCTTCAGATTTAATAATAATAATAATAATAACAATGCAATTTATTAATTATCCAGTATCTATTTCCATTTTCCAAAATATAAGGAAGTTTAAATCAGTTTTTTTTTCACTCGACATTGAAAGTAAAAGTATTCCTGAAAGTATGTAAGCAACTACAGAATGGGCTCACCCATTACATTCATTTATGATTTCAACTTGCATAAAAATTATAATAGATCCCGTGTTTTACACAGTATTCTATGCTTGAGGTGCGTTTGATATCTGAAATTTCATAAGAAAGTTGGGATAAATATTTTTTCCTCAGGAGGTTCAATCAATTCCTTTCCCGAGGAAGGAATGGTGACTTTTTTTTCATCCTACATATTTAAGATTAATATATCTCCCTTTGTTGACAGTGCAGTATGGGATTTGCAGCCATTTTCCCTAAACGTACAAGGCTTTCATCTGCGAGTGCACTGCTCGAAGTCGTTCAGACTTCGTCCTATCATGGTAACGGACGAAGTTCCGAGTTTTTTTTCAATCAGCGAGAACAACGTGGACTGCAGTGAGGATTCTGTAAGGACATTCGGGAAATAGCTCTCGTAGCGTCTGTATCCCGAAAAGAAATACTGCACATTATTCCCATTTCCTGTCCGTTCAACAAGGCCACAATGGACTTATTGCTGGGGCTCGGTTCCCGTGAAGTTCCCCGTAGCGATCGAGCCCGCTCTGTCGCAGGCATTTTATTTCGTAGACCATCAACCCCAGACAAAAACAAGAAAGAAGGTCAAGGCCCATTCACATTAGGAATAGCAGAGTCGGAAACATTTGTGGGCAAGAGTCCAGGCCATCTGGGGTCGCTCAGGACGAAGTGCCAGCCTATCGAGCGGAGCCCACTTACAGCCTAAAGGGGGCATACCCCGATTTCAGTTCGCTCTTCGGTTTGTTCTTGGGTCGTTGTCTCTAACTTTTTGAAAAGATCGACGCTACGACTTTTACTTCTCTTAATGTGAAATTCGAGCATTTAGAGCTCCTGTAGAAAGTTAGCATTTGGATTCTCTCACCAGATGCTCTCACGTCTGAGGACGGACAGGAATAATGGCAAAAATAATTACGGCAACTTCATCTTTCCTACATCAGAAAAAAGGTTGTGCCACAGTATGTGAGCTATTTGCGTTTACATTTCCATAAATTTGAGGGACGGCCTGGCATCTTTTTCATTACCTTGGAATGAGCCACATTTTTGACCAAGCCTAGATCTTTCTGAGAACGAAGATTGGGAGAGGGTGGGGGGGGGACGGACAGTGAGGAAATTAGAATAAGGAATACTTGCAAAGGAGTACTGTCTTTGAACTCCTTCTCCCATCTCAAAATTTCTTTACAAATCGCAGCCTATGGCTGTGATAGAGAAAGATTATTCAGTCGTTTCTTCCACGGGCGAATATGAGTCTCGAAATGAATTGATCGAAATGAATGGGAAAGCCCATAATGTGATCATCAGAGCGAACTTGCCGTTTTTTGCAAAAATTTTTCAACGGCCTTGGGCTTATATTGTAGAAAGGGTCTTGATCAAAGACCGAGCCGTGTGTTTATACGGTGCCCCGACGGTAGACGACAGTGCGTGTCATCTATGAGCTGCAGTCCGTAGTACGATGTCGAACAGCCTTCAGGTAGAAGTCGTTCCATGAAGTTGCAGCTCAGTTCCGACCGCGACTTCAATCGCAACGAGTTGTTTTTACGCAACGTTGCCCGTAACGTTACTTCTTCGGTAGTTCCAGGCGTAACCGTCGAAGATTGAGATGATGAGATGAGCATTCTCCAGTATGGTATTGAGTGAGCTTGTGTCGGTGGCTCTCAAGAGAAATCCAGCAACAATCTTTAAAATTCAATGGAGAGGTTCAAAGTTTGGCCAAGCTGTAGGAGTGATCTTGTACTTGGTGTTTACCTCAACGGTCTCAGATGCTGATGAAGAGTTGGGTCTACATTCATCAGGGACAAGAGACCCACTTTCATTGGCCTACAAGGGGTTACTTGCTGATGCTGAAGTGATTAATCCTATGGGAGGTGAGTTCAAATAGGCCTAGACCAAAAAAATTAGGCTGGATAGGCAAGACAGATGCTGCCAATATCGCTCTTTTCTTTTTTAACCTTGCAGCAAACCGGAGGGTGATGTTTGAGGGTTGCCCACTGAAGAATATGGTATCCCTTCAATGCCAAGTGCATGAAGACCTTCTGATTCATGATGCACACTATGTTGATGATCGAAGTTGTGCTGGACACAAGCTGGCAGGCCCTTCACGAGTAAAAACACCTTCAATGGTGGACATCAGAGGTTCCATTCTTCATGAGTGAGTTCAGGATGGAATAGCTTATAACAGTCATCAAAACTTGAATCCTCTTACCTGAGCCTTGACTTGCCTGGGTAGCTGATCAAAAATTTCCCAGTTCAGCTTAAGATTGCCCTTGTACCTGAGCATCAAGCTTAAGCCACTTCCCATGTATGCCAATATAAATTATTACTTTCTATTTATTTTCATCAGCCACTATCTTCTTGATGTGCAAACAAAGGCATAACATTTCTGGCACAATAGGAAGGGTCTTAGGACCAATTCACCTTGTTTTCCAAATAAATTACCAAAATGCTAAGAAAAAAGATATAGCTGATATGGAGTATGATGATAAGACAAAGTTCTCCATTTACATCAAGCACTAGTGATATATTACATGCCTAGCATCCTGCATTCACTAAATTCATCACTTTATATCTCGCTGCTGCTTTTTTCCTGCACCCAGAGCTGTGGTACAAGATCCAATTGTATATAGGTGGTTATATCAGAGATTAGGTATCAACCAGTCAGTGACTAGTTAGTAGCATATAATGTAGGGTAAAACCACCAATGTTCGGACAGTTAAGCTTCCCCAGCCTCGTCATTCGCTTATCCTATCTCAACGGTACAAGCTGGAAGCTTCATTTTTTGCTCCTGGGAGCACGACACGATGAGGTTTGAGTGCAACAAAGATGTTGCCCTTCCTGGCCTTATGACTACTGATATTGCCTATAGTGTGGATGTTTGAACTTAGATGCAGAAAAAAATTAAGTTCAGATGCTTTCACCTTAGTTTGGACACTTCTGTTTCAAAGTCTCAAAGAGGCTTGAAACACTTCATTTTGGTGTAAAGGAATGATAACCTGCTTCCAAAGTATTGGATCTTTTCTTTTCTAGAATAGGTTGATTGTGATTGAGTGAGTGACTGACTTTAATACTAACCATATTCTAGATGAGATTGAAAGTTCGAACTTGATGCACGAATAACTGATGGTACAGATTTCAGGTACTGTTTCTAAGAGGCGTTTCTCCATGCATTTTTTTGCTCCAAGAAAATGGAGAGATGTGGAAGCTGAAACTTGGTGCATTGGTACCTATTGAGATGCAGATTTCAGGGGTGAATAAGTTACTTTCAGGATTCATTCCCAGGGGCATATATAGGTACCTGCTGGTATGCAAATAAAAGGGAAAATCCAACTTTTGGGATATATATTCTGAGGGCACATTTGGGGAACCATATATTTGAATATGTTTTGCTACATTGAATCGGGCGGTGGCTGATATAGAAACCTGGAATTTGGTATGTAGGTTGCTCTCCAGTTGCTTATTTCTGGAAAAATCCTACTCTTGTGATAAATCCCTTGGGTGCACACTTTTCATTAGGGTAATGTTATCAGAGATTCTTTTTAATTGCTGACTGGGCAGGCACAGTTTGTTACATTCAGTAGACAGGTATTTCTCTGCATGCTTAATTCAGAAAACATCCAACTTCAGGGACTTACTCCACTCTGAATTTGTCTGCAACAGTGTCCAAACTTAGGTACTGTCTGAACTTAGGTGGTCTTACCCTATCTCTGTTAACAGGAAAACTTCTCCAACATCTGTTGTAACATTGCATAGTAGGCTTATAGATTTTAAGCCCTTCTGATATTGCATTACATGTATTTAATATGAAGAAGTTAGCTATAATACTTTTTTACAGTGATCATCAGTGACCTGCATTTATTATGGCTAGTATTTAATTCACCATCAAATAATATTGACTTTCACAAAGAAGTAATGATTTGTGGCCAGGTTGTCTTCTTTGGTAATTCAATAAATTTACATCACCTAGTTCTTATTACCTTCACTAAAAGATGTCATCATTAGACTTAATGAATCAAATTCTCCCTCAGTAATTTCACCTGATGCCACGAAATGACTACCAAGTTTATCAAGTTAGCACCAAATAGTTACATTTCATGTGCCAAATGAAATATTCTTTTAGCAGGCTTGCAGGGCAGAGGTTTCTTTGGTCTCCCTCTCTTTCATTTCTATGCAATGATGAATCTTCCAATGGAATATTGACTTCCCAGGTGTGAATTAACATTCTGAGTGAATGCTTGCAAATGCTAGTCTTCATCCAAATTTGGCAGGTGCATTCAAAATTTGGAGCTCTCACAAAACCCATCGGGAGAGTCTTGTTCTCTTCAAGTCCTTCCAATGCTTCAGTTTTCTGATTAGATATTCTTGTACACTTTTCCAAACCTCTTTCCTTGTGGCATTGCTGTCACTGCTGGCAATGAAGGATGCTCTCCATGTTTTGGTGTCCTCAAAGCTGTTAGTTGCCATGGCACCTCTAACACGTAGAGCACAAAGAAACTGGAAGTCAGCACCTTACTGAACTCCCATACATGTTCACAAGCAGAAGGAGACCAATTACACAGGTCCTCCCCCAAAGCCCCCCCCCCAGCATGATATTGTCTTTCAATCTCAGCTTGCCATTGTAGGTTTAACCAGAAACGAAGAAAAATCCTTTCCTTTATGGGGTTGCAATTGTTGAAAAATTCATAATTTTGGTGATGAGAGCATATTTTTGGTGTGGACTAATGCAAATTTGGTGATAACAGCACCTGTGATGGTGCAATCATATTTGGTGAAATAAAAAATGTGGTGACTAACTTCAATTTGGTGAAGATTCATTGGGATCTGGTGACAGAGTCAATATTTCTGCTGCCAAAAAATATTTGACGGCATGTTCATTATTGGTTGGTCATTAAAATGAAAGGGTTGAATAATCAGAAAGATTGGAACAAATGTGCCTCATTCCACTGCACTCTTTAGGGTAAGGCTATAGAATAACTTGAAATATAACTTATCACGTACAGTAACTAATTTTCATGCAGTGTTTTTCAGTTTAACCAGGCAATTTTTAAATTCACTCATGCTCAGGCATGGGATGTTCATCATGCATGAGTTTTGATATTAAATGAGAAAATGTTTGATTTGTGTAAAAAAAAAAACTTTAAAAAGTAAAAGTAATTTTACACGTGTTAATTAAATTTAATTGATTTAATGACAGTTACTTTTAACCCCCAGAAGTCAGGGTGGGGGGAAGGGTTGCTTCAACCCACTGCTTACATTCCCCAAAAGCAGTGGATTGAAGCAACACTCCCCCTTGGACTTCCAAAGGTTAACAGTATGCCTCTTGCTCAGTTTAACCTACTGATCAATGTAAGCCACAGGTGATCATGACAGAATGCATGGAACTAAGGTCAACAGGAACAGAACGGTATGGTTACTTAACTGCCTATAAGTTTTCATAGAAATTGATCTCCATATCTTCTGTTCTCATTATCTGCTTTTCTATGGGGATTGATTACCAGATCTGCCTCTCTATGGTTAAACTTTGTGATCTACTTTTTTCTTGAGGTATGCTGCATTTCTCTCCTATAAAATGCTCTGAAAGGGTGAAAGTGATTGGCCCTCAGTACTTTTGGTACTAGTCCATGATACCCAGACCTATTGTTGGTACTATTTTTTCAGATGTTCAGGAAAGCAAGCTTGCAGTTTCAACTTCACAGAACACACATTTGTGATACAGAATTCTTCTTTCGATGGGAAGGTGAAGATAGAGTTTTCGTGTGCACCCCGTGAGTTAATCATAGTTATATTTTCTTCATTCTTGTGCAGTGTTCAGGGATAGTCATGCTGTTTGGTTTTGCTTTGTTTGAAGAAATTCCCTGCAAGTTCTTATATGCAGCCTACTTTGCTAATGGGTCTCTTAGATAATAATTATTTTATCATTGTCTATGAGACCTTTATTAGTATTATTAAAAAAAACAAACAAATTATATGGTCATGTGAAAACTCATTTGCATGTCCTTGGACTAATGAGCCATATAGATACTTTTACACCTGTTTGGATTCCTTTTTTCATTTTTGCCCCTACTCATAACACAATGAAGCATGCACCTCATATACATCCTAAATTTGCTGTCAGAATAGGTGCATTCTATTCAGCAGAATAATCATTGTGTTCATTATGAATAAACAGGTTCTATTTTGTACTGGAGAGTTCTTGCAATTCATGCAAAAAAATTCCCTATGGAGTTCCCCATAGTGATGAGATAACTGATAAGCAAAAGTTACTTGAATCTCTGGTCCTTTGAGATGTGCTATTCACTTTTTGGGAATCAAATTTGGGATTCAGGAAGTGGATGTTCTCTCAACTAAAATGGGTAAAGAATCACTCATGAGCACATTGTTTCCTTCATTGTCAGGTCCTGTGTTCCACTGGGGAAATACTTTGGGCACAGTGTAATGAACAAGTTGACCAATCATTACTTACCAATCAGATAACTTATCAGTACTTAGCTCTCAATTTGATGAACAGATTACTTGAGTCAGTAATTACCTATAGATTACCACTTTACATGATGATAGCTCTGTGTTTGCTTGCATGCCTGTTTGCCCCTAAGAGGACTGCACAGGCTGATTTTTCAAAATCTAAATCACTCAGCCTGTTTCAAGTCTTGGCTTGCACCCAATCTGAAACCTGATTGCTGATTGACTGAGCTTCAAGGCCTTAACCACCTATTGAACTGACCCACAGCCTGTGCAGAGCTCTAAGCTGCAGTACTTAACATCTCAGATGATAAGAAAAGAGAGGCAGTCTTGATTTTTTATCTCTTATACTTCAATTTTCCAATTTGAATGTTGCATCTCATTTGAATGCTATGGAACAGAACTCATGTAAATTGATGGCTTCTAATGATGAGATGCATCTCCTATTATCAGTTGATTTTCCTGTTCAATATTCAAATTGTGCATTTCCTTTGCATGCAATGTGACTGAACTTGCTTAGCATTGGTACAGAGGGAAATTGGGGGCTTCTGATAATGGGTCAAAATCCTTCTTACAGATGCAAAACATGTGTGTTTGAAACTATAACTATATATCTCATATGATTGCCCTGGAGCAAAACTTGATGGGAATTTAAAATGAAACTGGGAATGTTTCACAGGTAACAATATTTGTGTAGTGGGGTTAGGCAGCCAGAATCACCTAGAGGTTCAAGGACCAGAATAGTCAAGGACTGTTACATTGACATTGAGATGTTTCTTTTTTTTTTCTTAGTTTGAGCCATTCCACAGACGACTGACACCTGGACAGTAATTAATCTTTAGTAATTATTTTATCAATCATGCTGGTACATAAGCATGAACCCAATAGTTACTTGCTGATTTCTGTCATTGTCTAAGCTGCTTCTTCTTTGCAGAGATTGCATAGTTTATACATTTAGCATTTGGTTGTAATTTATGGAGCATAAAAGTTAGGGTTGAGATGACTTGAGATGCTATCATTTCTACCATAAAAAGCCCTTTCATCTAACTCTGTGAATTCTCCCATACATAAACTGCAAATTTACTTAGTGTGTATAAGAAAATAACTCCTTCAGTAAATGCAGTTGGTTTCATGTTTAATGCAATGACAGCAACCTGATCTACAATCATTATGAGGGCAGAATAATGTGATGATGTGATGACAAACTCAATGTGAAGTTTGTCCAGTCCCAGAAAGGACAAAGCAACATGAACTATTAATAAAGAGCCATTTCTAATTACCTGTCAAAGCTGTGCCTTGGTTTTGTCTCGACCTGTTCTTTGGGAAGTGGAAGGGAGGAGAAGAGGGCATAAGTATGACAAATGAGACATATGTTGCTTTTTGCAATTAGGAGTGGTCTTTTATGGGTTGAGACAAATTTGATATCCTCTCAGACTCTAATTATGTTGTCATGCACTGGAATTCATTGCCCGGTTGCTCACAAGCATTATGTCTCTCATGCCTATAACTTACGCAATGAAGCTTTGATGGCTCATAGCTTCACGGCTCCCTATACTTTTGATTACTTATTAACCCTGTACTCTTAACTATAACAGTCCTCTTTTGAATTTACTCCACTTCTTTTCTTTGTTTTTCTACAAGCAATTGATGAAAGTCTTCCTCTCTCAATTGAATTATTCAGTAAAAGTTATAAAAACACACCAGATAATATTATGAACAGTGCTGGAGTAGGGGTGGGGGGAGGGGTTATGGCCAGGACAGGATCCCTCCTGGGTTCTTTCATCCTTGTTTAGGATTTATGAATATTGAAAAAACAGTTCATGGAGTTACCCACATATGAAGCTTGTAGCCAAATGACGAGCATACTCATCATTTGGACATATAACTATGTATGCTTAACTGAAATCTGCACCAGAATCTCATATGCTGTGTATAATATGTTCCTGTGTTTTTATGACTTTTCCTTCCTTATGAATCAATGCAATATTATCTGCATGACTCTCCCCTTTTGTTCTATAATCTGAAATCTTCCATTTTCTCTTCTAGACAACATGATTCAGAAGTACTGTAACATTCAAGTGAAGGCCTTGGAAGGATTTCTGCAAAGTCCAGGCTATCCTGATTACTACCCAAAGACTGAGAATTGTACATGGAAAGTACCTGTGAGGAGTGGACAGGAAGTGGCATTGACTTTGCTTGATGTTGATTTAAAAGGTTTGAGGGTCTTCACATGGTTTCTGCTGTCTTTCTGGTTGGTGATGAGATGAGCAACATTTTACTTTCATAACTTCTAGTTCCTGATGTCTTTTCTGGAGCTCAGACATGCAATGACAGCTTGAAGATTATGAATGGTTCTCAAGTCCTTCGCTCCATTTGTGGGGGAGTAGTCTCTTCAACTACTATCAACATCAGTGCTGTAGATGTGCGTGTTACTCTCTACAGTGGTGGATTTCAGCCCAAGAGAGGAGTCTTCATTTCATATAAAGGTTAGAACTACTGTGAACCTGGTTCAAATTACAATTAAATAAGTGTTTGCCTATCTTAACTTTTGAACTTGCATATTTCATTTTAGTGTATCACTGTGGAGATCTGGAAACTCCTCATAGAGCTTCAATGGCCAATTCAACTCCTAGTGTGTTCATTTTCTCTTGTGAGGATGGATATCTCTATCAAGACACTCTTTTGCAATCAAGAGTTTTACAGTGCCTGCAGAATGTGTGGAATGATACTCTTCCTGCTGCCTGTGTCTGTAAGTGGATGGCATTTTTAACTCTTACTATTTAGCCATGTTCATTATTGCTTATGGAAAATTTTTTTCAGCTATAAACCAGCTATTGGATTCAGGGAATCAGAGTGTGCTTGATGTACTCCATGCTTTCATCAAGAGGAGGCGGAGCATGTCCATCTGGGAGTTTCTCTCTGGACGAATGTCTGGTATGCCTCTGCCTACTTCACTTCATGTGCTCAAAGTATTTGCTGGGATACATGAAGCAATGAAAGATATGCTCCATTTCCTTTTTATCATTTATCCTGTTGAATTATGATATTTACTCACATTTCTATCAGCAAGGGGTATCAGCAAGCTTTCTTCAAAACTGTCATAAAAAAGCTCATAAAATGGGCCAGATAGAAAAGAGAAATATAAAATTAAGAGGAATGGAAAGAGGTTTTTTCAGAGTTAGGACCTGTTTGCTCAAGAAAAGGTTTGCTGAAAAAAAAAATTTACTCTTGGAGTTGGAACACCAGGAGTTCTGCCAAGGAGTAAATTTGGAAATGATAAATAAGATATACCATAGAAGGGAATACTCTTGGAGTATCATTGGAGTAGCAGTAATGTCTGTACATCTGCCATAACCCTATTCATTCTTTTGTTCATCCCAAGTTGAAGTGCTTTCATGATATACAGTATTTACCCTGCACGAGTCATTAACCTTCTGCTGGACACAGTACTCAATTTCTGACCAAGGCATCTTCAAAGGTTCATTTATTGGCACTTGCAGAAGAGTATGAATTTTGAAAGACACTAATGCATTCTCAACTGAAGTCAGGAAAAATAAGTTGATCCTCCCAAGTCAGGATCCTGAGAGTTTCGTTGGCCAATTTGATTCTTTCAATCAAGTCATAGGTTTGATCATGCTGAATCATCAGCCATTAAATCCAGAATCCCCTGCAATCTGTCTCCCATCATGCCAATGTCATCATTTAAGTAGACTCTGCTTTTCTTTTATTGAGAGTGCTAAACATCAGACTTTATCTGAACCATGTAGACGACAAGCAATAAAGGTTGGGCAGCCCTACCCTAGATGGAGGTAGAATATGCAACTTGTTGCACTTGAGACCAAAGGTTCCAAGTGTATGGTTGCTCAATTAGCTCATTGAAATTTCCCCAGTCAAGATTTGAAGATTATCTATCATAATATGAAATATATTTTCTTGTTCTACTTTTATTTTTATTTGTTCAATTCTACTTGAAAATTGAAGTTCTCATATTCCATACTTTAGATATTGTGCTTCCACTGGTCATCGTACTCATCTTGATCATTGGAAATGCAGTTTTCCTGCTTTATTTGTTCCATCTCAGACACAGGTAAGTGTAACAGTTTGGTAATTCACATCAATTGTCCAGAGCAAGGTTTTCATGCAGGAAGGTATGAGGAGTGTCTCTTTTGTATCCTGTCAGGAATCTCAATCGACGAGGTGTGCCAGCTCTTCTTCTGGAAGATACAGAAGATGAGAGAAAACCTGAGGGAACATTGTCTTAATCCCCTTTTTTCTACATTTGTCATTTTCCCTCTTGGCAATGCTTCCTTGAGGGCCTTGTTGCTGCAGTTGAAATTGTCTGGATTTCAAGCCCCATTGACCATTTTTCTGTTCTTACAACCACAACAGTTGCTTTTTTTTTAACTCTTCCCCTTGATGCCTTTGTTGACATGCTGGGAGTTTCTTATATCTAGTCCTACTGCAGGTGTGATAGAAAAACCTCATATGTTCTAGTCATCTGGATATTCACAGTATGGCTGTTTTTCAAAGGCTTAAGCATGGTACAAAGCAAAGTTTGATTGCATGAAATGTCTAATTTCCAGAGAGGTACAAAGATATGTATGGTATATCTAAATGATCTCGCATGATTGTGATATGATGGTGGCAAGAATTTGTTAGGATCCAGGTGATGTAAAGAGAAACCCGGTGTGAACTGTGTTACTAGGCATTATCTTTTGTGCCCATTTTATGAAGAGAAGCCATGGGTGCTCTTTGGCAGTGCAGTTCAATGTGTCAGATTGGTGCGAGTATGCTATTGCTTTTATTGGAGGTATGTCTCATTATCACAGCATCTCAGGCTGAGATGAATGAGGAGGGTATTGGGCCATAACCAAGCCCATTCAGGGAATCTTAACATCATTGGGGAGGTTTCCAGCCATAGAGAAAAAAAAAAAATGTGATGAGAGGATAACAGGAAGAACATAACTCTGTAGGAAAGGGACTCTTTGCCATCTTAGTTCAATAATCAAGGGAAAGGCAAGAAATTGATCTAATAATACTCTAAGGGTGCTTGCACATCTAATCAGTTCAGTCTAATCTAGGTTAGTCAAAATTAGTCCATTTAAAATTTTTAGAACCCCATTGCTCAACATGTGATTTCTGATATCCACCTCATACAACCATCCATTCAGTCAATTCAAGTGCTGGACTGATGTTTTGCACCCTAAGTGTTTCCTGCCCTTGAATGAGTTTGGATGACACATGCAAACATGCTTTTTTCCTTAGTGACATGAACATTCTGGTTCAGATATTTTGTCTGAATATTTTTGAATGATCTCACTTGCCTTGTTCGAATGATCTCACTCACCTTATTCCAGTCATCAGTTTTTCCTTTAAAAAACAAAAATTATGCTTGAAATGTAACCAAGCTCATCTGTTAGTTGCTCCTGCACTTTTGCTCAAACTATCATTGTTTTTCTGAATAAGCTAAGTAGTGCTTGTTGTTTCTCATTTTACTGAATGTTGGACATGAAGCAGTATGAACTTGGCCTCTAGCAGTCATTTCAGTGGAATTTGCAGCTTTTGGTTGAGGTTGATATTCAGAATTCTTTGTACAATCAGAAATTTTAAAAAGTGTTTTCATTGATACTTTAACTCTTTCATTCCTGATTTTAAAATTTACATGATGCAAAAATGAGTTTTCCTTATACAGCCATCCACAACATCATTAACCGCAAAAATACAAATTCCTAAAGAGTTCACAGGGACTCTGAAGTCTTGCTAAGCCTCAAAACCATTCATTCCTGTATAACCCAGCAAAATATATGGAGAAAATGTGGGACTCCTGAGTCCTGCCAGGACTGAAAGGGTTAAAGCTTCAATTGAAAAAGGCAAAAGGCAGTGTGAAAAAATGTATGCTGTCACTTAAATCCTGAAGAATGTACATGCCTTTTGGGATGTCCTACATATCTCCTGCTTTCAGTACAGGATACATAGGTCCAAATGCTGAAACCTCATTTTAGTGAGATAAAGGGGCCTTTAAGCTAAGGAGCTCTTCTTCCCCTTCAGGCTCAACGGTTTCTTTAAGGACTGTTAAGTAAAAGAGGTTGCACCATTTGGGCTATAAATCTCCTGGAGCTCATGATACTGTGACCATTGCTTCTGCAGAAAATATTGCTGGTCCAAACTTTAATTCAAGAATGAAGATTTACCCAGAATGAGTTCCAACAGTGCCCTCTTTCTGACTGCTCACATTTGATTTCTTCAAGTGCATGTACAAGTTGTAAATGGTGGTGATGTGATTACGTTTTTTTTTTTGCTCTAGGAATTGAAGATAATTAAAAATATCAACTTTACCATGTATTCAGCTATGACTTGAGCTCATGTCAATGTAGGTCAAGCATGATATCAGTTTTTCTGAGAGGTGTGTTGAATGTTGTGAAATATGAGTGCTGTCTCTTCAGCAATATCATTTCTCTTAGGGTATTGAATCTATAGGCCAACAAACCTTTTGTGTCATGCTGGTGCAAACCAGAGTCTCATATTAGGTTATCTTGACCATGTTTTTATCTATTCTGTAGCCAGATATCTCACCCAAGGAGGGGACCACAGTTGGAGAAAGTCTGTGATTCACAGTCCCATTCCAGAGTTATAGCTTTAGATGCTTGAAATTCTTCTTTATCTTCTATCTCCACTGTCGTTTTTGCCTCCATATGAGTGAATTCCTGGGTTATTAAAATACTGCATTCCTTATAGACAGCTATGTGGTCCCAGATGAAAAGGTAAGTGGGTAGGATAAGGTAGGGTGCATGGGCACAATTTTCAACCCAATATGCAACTCTGATCTGATTAACCTGCACCTCCTTGCACGCCCTCAAGCAAGTTACAAATATTTCATTTGATAAAATTGTTTTTCATGCATGTTTTTGATGAATAAGTTGTATACACACATTGCACATTCCAACCCATGTTTTGTTTGCAATAAATGTGTTTTCTCAAATCTGCCTTTTTTTCCAACAAGGCTACTTAAGTTAGCTCTCTAGCTTAAACAGAAATTCAGGGTGGCTTGACAGGCCATTGTTCTTCAATAGACATGAGAGAATCTCAAGTCTTGCATATCTCCTCCTCATGAATGTTTCTTAGCTTCTTAATGCTGGAGGTAATTCAAGTCCTTTGCAGAATGAAAGCTTCACAAAAGCAGAATTGCAATAACCATGTGAAAATTGCTTGGAAACCAGAGCAAATTAACCTTACTAGCTACTGTAGTCCCTGTATACTGGTGCATAATTATAATTTTTTAGATGGTGTTGATACAGTGATAAACTCTCACTTATCATCTTGCTTGTGAAGTGGAGTTATATTTGTTGGGAGTAGTATAATTTAAGTTTGTAATGATTTTGTCTTGACCAGCAGTTATGTTAGTCTGCCTCCTCAAGGCTTATTTTTATGATGCTGCTCAGTACTAACTCACCTTTCACTATGTATATCATACATTTCAACCAGACCTCTGTATGGAAATCATTCCATATTTGAGGGAGACACCCACCTAACAATGCTAATCATAAATGCATAGTACAATGTAGAAATCCTTGCCTCATACTTCTGTGAATCATTGAAAATTTTGTTGTGAGTGAGAGGCCCAATGCAAGTTGGTGACAAAGAGCATTGATATTTAGTGCCTTGAGGTACATTATTAAGACTGCAGAGTTTCTTCACTTTTGCTGGAGGTTTCCTCCTCTGGGTTCCCTATTTTTGTTACTGGAAGTCTCAATATTGAGATATTTATCTCTGAAAGGTATAGCTTTTGCTTGAAACTGCTCTTTTCATGAGAATCTATTTTTACTTTATCTCTCTTTGTGATACATATTGATGGCATTCTCCTGAAATCCTTGTTTGTACTATGTCAGAGTTTTTCTGGAATGCATTGGCTTGAGGTATCTTCCAATATTGAATTTAGATTTTCATGGTGCTTACAACATGAGATCAGCCATATTGAAATGCCTCTTTGCTCTACTGCAGCTATATTTTGCTTCTGCAAGAACTCCTCTGGTAATTTGGCATGGCATGGGTGAGTTTTCCCATTGATTTAACACTGAAATATTGTTTTCCTTCACTTCTATCCATGTCAAGCTTTTTCATGTCTATATAGCATGAAACTACTTTAGGATAAAATGTGTCTTCAATCAATCATGCTTCTCCTAGGTGATAGCTGCTGTAATCCACTTAGCATGGGATCAATGATTGACCTTGTCAAGAAGGTTCTTCCGGGGATATATGTTCATTCTGTCCGCATAGGCAGCAATCAGTTAGAAGTGAGTGATTCTACCTCACCACCAAGATTTTCAGTGGATAGCCAAATTAATATCATCACAAAGATAAGTTAAGTGCAGTAGGATACAAGAATGATTAACTGCTATGCCTTCTCCAGCATCTCTGATTTAAGCAGATACTATGCAACAGAGGTGGAAAAAGCTCTTTTGCTTCCATGTAACCATGGTTTACCTTCCCACTTTCCCAGTCACTGATATTGCTTCTCCCTTCCTTGCCTTCCTAATTGGTTGTTACCCTTCCCAATAACCTGGTTACTAGGTTACAGAACCTTTTCCACCTCTGCTATGCAATATGTGGTAACAATCACTGGTGTCTATGCCAGTCTGCTGATGTGTGTGTTTGTGTGGATGTCCAGCCCATTTGTGTTCTAGATCAGCATAGGCATACAGCTTCAACGTCCTGATGTTTTGAAGCTGAACGCTAACTTTTTATGCCTCAGACTTGGGGCATTTCATCTAAAATAGATGCCATTTTGAGACATTTTCTTAAACTATTGATGGTGCTTGAATATCAGGTAAAATGAAAATATTCCCCTTTGGAAAATGGCTACAGTCAGGGAATTGAGTAAACATACATTTTTGATTCAACTGCAAATTTATCAGAAGTTTAGAATATTTTGTTCATCTGTGAGCAAGGGGTGAAAAGACCTCACCTTGGTTTGATCTCTCTGAAGCACTGATGTCACTAAGATAGGGTAGGGTCAGTTATGCCTACTGTGATCAGCAAATGAGTATGTGTAAGCAGAACAGATGACAACATGGCAATGCATGCAGTATTGAGCTTGGGTAATCCACCACAGACTATCAATTTCATGGGTGTCATCCATGGATGATGCTCATCGAGTCCCAAAGCCTTATTATCAGAATGATGAATTCAAGGTTTGAATTCTCAATATCCTCTTCCCACTCTGCTGCACACAATTTTTGAGACTGTCTACTCCAGGGACATCTTCTGCATGACATTTGTGAACTGGGGTTTTGTCCATGGAGCTCACCTTTTGAGCCATAATTCTTTCAGCCTGTGGTGGATTGTCTGAGCTCAAAACTGTTCTATTGTGTTGCAACATGCATTTCAATTGCTGTGTTTTTGCATGTCTCTTTTGTTTGCATCTTGTTCTAAATCGCCAGTAACAGCAAGCAGAAGTGACCCTCAATCTTCATGCTTTGGAGACAATACAGAGCAGGTCATAAATATTAATTCCAAATTGAAGTCATGTATTTTCTCTACTAATAACATCTCATGGACTCAATTGAATCTCAACAATACATAAGGGGTCAAAGTAACTACCCACAAAATATATTTGATGTGTCCCAGTTCTTCTTGAGGCTGTCAGTCAATTGCACCAGACAGACATGGTTTCACTCCTCTTTGGGCATGAATCTTAACTGGTTCAGGTTGCTGGGTTTCATTTATGGGCACTTGCTTCCAGGAGACTTCGCATTCAGTTATCAGTTTGGTTATGGTCAGAGTTTTATGGTTGTCTTTCATATTTTTTTAACATTTCTTCCTCATAGTCAGCCAGACAATTTTTTAAGCTCAAGCCATTTCTAGGCAGAGAAGGATACATGTTGACCAATCAAGGTTGACCACCAAAGAGACACTCACATAGAGGTATAAAACATTTTTTTCTTTGCTGTTTTTAGGCATACAGAAATAGAAAAGTTACAAGTGGTATGAATATTTATGGCCCACCCTGTAGACAAAATTTTATCACTTGTTGCCACTTGGCTCACAGATGAATGTAATTTTCCTTAACTTTTGAACTATTATTGGTTGTGTCAAGGATGAATGACCACTTGATGAAACAAATTCTGCCAATTATGCAGGAGCAATGTCTTTCTCTTCCCATCTGTGAACACAATAATTTAAATTCTATGAGCCTGTGGCGAGAAAAGATAGCATAGAGCTACAAAACATCAGGAAGCTGACATATCTATATGCTCATGCTGGCTACCAGGATCAAGACTGGGCTGTGCATCTACATCAGGCACAAGCACAACAATGTACTTTTAAAGTCATCGGTGACTCTTAGTACAAGTAGTATCCTATC